GCGGGGGGCTGACAAAATGGGGGGCTTGTGGGCCCCGTCCCACCAGCCGTGCTGCTGGGATTGCAGCGCAGGCTCCGCAGCACGCACACCGCTGTGCGGGGACAGAGAGGAGAAGCTGGGGGATGCTCTGCCATGCAGCCCTTGGAGGAAAACGTCGGCGCATTTGGTGGTGAAGATGGCAGAGTGTGGAAAAAAGATCTTAGAGCACGAGTACAGTGACTCCAGCGTGGCTGATGGTAACCCAGAGACACGGGGTTCACCGTGAGTTAAAGGAGCCTACCCCCTGACTTCTCTGGAGCCACCATAACCCCTATGGATGTATACAGTCTGATAGCTTGTCAGACAGATAAATAGATGTTTTCAGAGAGCTTGTGCTATTCAGAGGGCTATGTATATCTTCACAAATACATATATAAATCCACATATATTCTCAGAGCGTGTTTTTGACAGTAACGTAGAAGCGAGGGAACCGTTAGATGTGAGTCAGCCACACAGTGTCTCTGAAAGTTAGTTTTAGGCTGACGAGGTTCAGCCAAGGCATTTTGGCATCAAACTGTTCTGTGGACATCAGTAAGTACTTAGCAGAGGATGATTTAAGACTGTGTGCCACCGAGGAAAATGCACGTACCGCTCAACTATTTAAACCTCTCTTTCCAACAATTTGCGAGTCATCAGTGTGGCCACTGCAAGCTGCAGTGTTTGTTCCCTCACACACTGGGAGTATGGTAAAGGTCCACTGGAGAAGAGGATGCCATTGCTTCAGTAGTGGCAGAGGTGTTTAAGGAAGGAAGGACATAAATGAGTAGGAAATCAAGACGGAGTTATCCTGCAGAAACAAAATCCTCAGAATATGTGTTCATCATCTGCTTATATAGATGGGTTAACTAAACAATATGCTTATGAGTAGCAAGATTGCTGTTGTAGATAGTTTTTACTGGTAGAGCTATTTCAGCTGGGGGACTTCATAATGAACAAAAGCATTTTCTTCATAATAAAAGTGATGTCTACATTTAGATTATTTTCTGTTTTACTTGTGTACCAGCAACTTTTTTACAGTATAGAATAGATTTTAAATGTCAGAGCTGATAATACAGGCTAGAGTTCTGATGGTCTAACAGCCAGTTTATATTCCTTCCTTACCCTCCAGATTTAAATACATTATGGCTTCCCTACATAAGCCCCCAATTATCTGAAATAATATTTTTTTAGTAAAATAATAAAATGATTATTACCAACATCATCATTACCATAGTCAAAAGGGAAGATAACACTGAAAAGTGTGCCTGCACACTGGTATATTTGTCTTGTGTTGATGTTATTAGACCACAGAGCTTCAGTAGGTTAAACTGTTGGGGGGCAGGGTTTACCAATTCAAGTTCATGGTTTTTCCTCAAATTCTCTGTAATAAAATCTGCTTTTTGGCTAATAATATTAAGACAAGCAACTTAACTGAGTAATAAGTTCTTTTGAAAAGACTATTATCAAATTTAAATAAATTTTAATAATATTTCAAAACCAAAAATGTTAATAATGCACATAGAACCTTCTTTGGACACTGCTCCTTTTAAAGTAAGATTCTTAAGCTGTTTCATAGAACCTTCTTTGGACACTGCTCCTTTTAAAGTAAGATTCTTAAGCTGTTTTTTTTTTTTTTTTTCCTTAATATCTTTAATTTGAAGCATTTCTTTCTCTTCTCTAGCAGGACATAGATTAATTTCTATATAAAAGGTATTAGCCAGCATATGTCCCAGAAAGTAACAAACAAAACAAATACAACTCAGATCATCTTAGATAAAACACGGTATGTGTTTATTGTAAATTTTCAAGGGAAAGAAGGAAAAAATATATTTTCATTGTTGAACAAGTGAAGTGGTAACCGCAAAGCATTTTAACATTTCATTAATCAAAACTTTTTTGTCTACCTGGCAAAATATATATCAATAATCTGCTTTAACTATTAACATGGAAAATTAGTATTTTTAAAGAAATATCAAGCATTATTGAAGACTATATTAAAAATATGTTTTCATAAGTTGAAAGTGATAGCCACAAAGACGCTTGTTCGTTTATGTGTTGTCAAGATTTTTCCATATTTAAACTGGTGTACATTATAATTTCTTACTTTCAGGATCAAAATAAAGATGATGTTAATCTCCTCAGCAATTGATATATACCCATTTCAAATGTAATTTAGATAGAATAGTATTTTGTTTTATGAAAAGAGTACTTTTTCAGATTATGTCTTTCTCTCAACAATTTAATAAACACAAGATCATGTTTACCTTCATCAACATGGAATTTCAGTAGGAACAAGCAAGCTTCACATATTAAGATGAAGAAAAAATACACAGATTTCCTCTATGGTTTAAAGAGTTAGCTAAAATGTCTGTATTGCAGGATTATGTCAGTAAACTACTAGTTTTGCCAGCTTTCATCTGCATTTCATTTGCTACTATTTTGATTCAGTTAGAGAAATTAAGGCAGAAAGACTGGAAAAGTGTTAGTTTTTGTTGATAGATTTATCTACATAAGGACATTTGTTAGTACAGCAAGGTTGATCAGGAAAAAGGTGAAACAGCCTTGCTAGCAAAACTAAGTATCAACCTTACTTCCCCATATGTATGAAGTTTAAAAGTTGATGTGCCATCTATTTTACAGAACCAAGTGTCACAAATAAGTTTTAAATGAAATTATTCTGAAAACTTTGTACCTATTTTCACTTTACAGAAATTACGAATGATACGGGGTTTTTTTTTTAAAAAAAGCCTGCCAGATTAATGCCTTTAAAGGTTCCTAGAGCAAGACCTAAGTTTTCAAGAAGAGAAAAAAAATTTACATCAAATTCCAGTTCCTGAGAAGAGCTAAACAACATTTCAGTAATAAATAAATAAATAAATAAAATCAGCATGTGTTCCTGGCATTTTTTTTAAACAGTGGTTTGTCAATGTAAATATTCTTTTCATGATATATTTTAAAATTAAGAATTAATTTTCCGTCTATAGCTCCTTTCGCTTTGGTAGAATTCAGACATAAATACAAAGTAAAGGCATTAACATTTTTAATCCTTTATACAACTTCAAGTTTTCCTTGAACCTTATAGACAATACAGAATTATGCTAAAGAAACCCAACATGTATGAATGGAAATGGCAACTTCCTCATTCCTGTTCTATCAGAAAGATTAAATATTTTGGCCAATTTTGGAAACAGGAAAAAATAGTTGTTTGGTGACTCAAATGCTCACAAACCAAAATCTTTCAACTTTTAGTTTATATTATATTTGATTTCTTTGTTGTTTAAAATAACTTCTGAATTAAAATGTGTATCCAGCCTTTATGAATGCAGGTTGGATAGCTCAATACCATCCCTGGATGTTTTAAGCACATCTTTGATGACGTAAAGCTCTTTTCATTAGAAGAAAATTTTCTTTTGTCAGAATGATATGGTAGAACAAAATTGTTGGATCTGTGGGCCTAATGTCACCAACCAAGGAGCCTGTCGTTGGTGGGAAACTCTTCTTTCAGCAGTTTACACTGTAGCCCCACCTGAAAAATGAAGATCAAACATTCAGCATTTCAGACATGTATGCCCTTTGCCAGCCTTTCTGGGCTTTTTTTGCTCCAGTCCTTTTGAGGCAGCAGGTGGGAACCGCATACCCACAGAAATGTATAGACAGCCTTCTACATTTGCCCCACTCCTCATGGCCACCGGATCACTGACCTGATGCTTTAGTTACACTCCAGCCATAGTAACAGAGGAAAATAAGTGACTATCAGACCCTGAGGGCACAAACAGCCGTCACAACACTGACTGGCTTCCCCGAGGACATCCTGTGCATCTTCGCTGTGTAACCCTGCTCAAACTTCCCCCCCTGGGCTGAGGCTTTCTGAACCCCAGGGGACCCCATGCCTGGGAAGCTTCTCCAGACATTTGTGTTTTGCTCACATCTTATTTGTTAGTACCATGATGGAGTAAATAACATGAATTAGAGGTTTAAATTGACCTCTATGGCAGCTCGTGGCCAGGGCTGGGCTGTTCCCAAAGAGCCAGGAGCCAAGGGCAGCTGGAGGGGAGCCCGGGCTGTCCCCTCCCCAGTGGCAGGCATGCACTGAGGGGTGATGATGGCAAATGGGCTCTGTGGACAGGCCAGCCATCAGCTGGTGGAGACAAGGCAACCAGCCCGCTCCAAGACCAAGCCATGAAACCCAGACAGCCATCCAGGCTCATGGCCGGGGCAGGCACGTGGGAATGTGGCAGGAAGCCCACCAGGCCAGAGCCTGGCCCTGGCCAGGGGGTACATGGGGTGGGTAACCCGGGTAAGGCTGATCTGGGCCATGCAGGCTGGTTTCCACACACAGAGCCATGACGACCGTCAGTCACCTCTGTGGTGGCAGAGACCTCATGTCATGTAATTTTATTCAGAAAGTGGCACACATCAATCTTCTGGGCACATCATGGTTTCCTATACAGGTCCCTGATGAAGAGTATTAATTAGTGTCTCTTACAGACCAAAGAGGCTTTTTAGGATGAGATCTTCAAATGCTCTCATTCCTGACCTGTTTCTGTCCCCACTGAAATTTTTTGCAAATTTCCCATCTTCTCCAGCAGTAAATCAGCTTGGAAAGCGGAAACCGATTTGGTCTTACCGTGTGGTTTGAAACAAAGTTTCTTGTTCTTGTAAGCAGAGAAGGCCGCTATGGATCCAACAACTAATATTACTAAAGCAGAAATTAGAGGAGATGTAACTCCAGCTATTAATCCAGAATCTGCGGGAAAAGAGAGAGGTTTTTTTTCAGAGGCACTGAAATGGTTTGACTTAAGCATATCTCCTACTAAGGTGTGCTTTTGCCAAACTATGAGAATTGTTTGTTGAAACACTGGAAAACCATTAAATAGAATTCAGCAGAAGACTAGAAATTATGTTTCATTACAGCTGGTATGAAAATGGTGTCTTAAAGCCTAATTTAGTATATGTACTACTTTTGTTACTATTTTATGATGATTGGAAATGAACTATAGAATAAATTATTTACTACACCTGTGTTTCCTCCATGATTGACGTTATGCTCCTCTCCTCCTGGAACAGAGGGTGAAGTTTCATCAAGAAATGTTTTTCGTCTTGTTTTGAGAACAAAGTCTTTACTCAGCAAGTGTGATTTCGTACAGAAGGTGAAAGGGGGTGGGCTCAGCAGGACTGTGAGAGAGGAGCTGTCCTTCCAGTCCTGACTGACAGCTGTGCTGGCTGGAGGAGTAACCGTCTATCCTCCTGACACTTCATTTTTGGAGGAGAATATTATCTTTTAAAAAAGGATAATATTTAGCATTCTACTTCAAGCTGATCTCACAGGGAGTGGAAGGCCAGGATAGTCTGGCTGTCCTCTACTGCCAGACAATCAGATGATTTATCAATAATTTAAGTCAAGATCATAGGCCTGGTTCATCTCCTTTCAGTTCTTGTCAGAAGCCCATTGCTTTGGGACTGTCCTAGCTGAATTCAAAGGGATTAATCCTGCAAAGGTCTGACACATGCCAGAATGCTACAAAATGTTTATGAATGTTTCAAGTTTGAGCTTCAGGCTCAAAGCCATGGTTTGTGGTGGATAACTAATCTAAATAAAAATAGCAGAGTCTTGTCCTATACCTTCAGTGACAAAACAGGTTACGGCTAAAGCAAAACCAGCCAGCTCCAAGTTACAAGTATTGGGGAGAAGCTGCAAGGAGAGTTGGCAAATGCTACCTGTTATGTGCGGTGGTAAAGGCTTCCCATCAAGGAGATCTGAGTCATCAAAACCTCCTGCAAGATAAAGATTAGGATTTCTGTTGCAAAATTATCTGAACAATGGTAACTCCTTCAGATGCCTTGTCCATTATTTTTGTAATGTCCTAGGGAAGGATGAGGGACCTTTGAAATCCCAGCTGCAACACTGCAGATGGATCAGGTGTCTTGCACTGAATGGTTTTCCATTCAGATTCACCTGGAAGCTGGAGTACTAAAACTGCTGCAGTCTACCCATTCTACATCTGTATTGTCACCCCTGGGATGTGCGGGCTTGGGCTCTCAGTAGCACGAATCCTTATATAATATGGACATCTCAAATCCCAGCAGGTCCTGGAGTAGGAATTTAGTGGGCCCCTTCCAGGAAAGACTCCAGAAGGACTCCTGAAGGACCTGTCCACGGCTCACCACTACAATCATACTAGAAGTAAATATGGGATACATGGAGGTAGCTGGGATAGATGTGCCACTTTCACTTTATTTAAGTGTCTGGGTCCCCACTCAAAAGGAATACAGGCTTACATCTATCTCACCAGTCCCACCTGTTGTATGGCCCAGGGCCATGTCACATCACTATGGCTTTGAACATAGGCTCATCCACACCCTGTGGCTACATGTCAAGTTTCAGCCTTAGCATGGTTCACTGTATACATACCCAAAATGAAAAGGCAACCAAGATGAGTGTTAGTCTGATGCCACTTAGGAGTCAACATCCCACATTTTGGGCAGACAGAAAAGCTTTATGGTACCAACTTGAAAACTCAGAAAATCTTTACAAACACTGAATAAAGAACAGTGATTACAAAGGGGGGATGGAAGGAAGGGGTGATAAAATAAATGAGAGTAAACTATTCAAAATATCTGCTCCAAACAGCTCATAGTGCTAGATATTCTCAGGAGAAAATATTCTTACCAGAATTAATATGGCTTCCCGGTCGCGGTGGAAGAGGTGGGTATAAAGGTTTTCTTGAGATGTCACCTATTGATAATTAATATTGTTAGATGGTTGGACAGGCAAAACTGAGAGCTGTAAATAGTGTGATAACCTGAGATTTTATACCTATTGCTAATTTTTCCTCTGGTGAATTAAGAAAAGGACTTTGTCACTAGTTAAAAAGTCTCAAAAACTGTATTAACAAATGGGTAGCTACTAAAACTAATTAGAAAGTGAAAAGGGAATATTTTCAAAATTAAAATGAGAGAAGAATTCACAAAAATGTTGAAGGAGAATATTTCATGGATTTCTGGCAAGTGCTAACATTGTTGCATGCTGACAGCTGGGAAGCACAGTGTTACTGTAGGTGTCAGTGGTGCAGTTATGCAGAACCAACAGAGAAGCTGGTGTTCTGGTCTGAGCAGGAGGCAACAGGTTATCTCTATGCCTTCAGCAGGTATTACTAAAATGCGGAGATTAGATTCATCTAACAGATGCTGAATTCATCTAACGCATGATGGATTTTCTACTCTTGAACAGTGCAAAATGAACTTGGACTTCAGCTTTGTTGTTTAGGACTTTGTGCTGGTGTCTGGCCTTAATTTTTTGCCAAAGTATTAGGAAGAGATGCGTTGGGTAGCATGGGGGATCTGATGACTAATGGCAGTTTCCAAACTGCACACATGGTGCTGGAGTAGCAAGAACAGACTCAGGTCAAAATGTGACAAAGTTAACGCCCAGGTGTGTTGCTCTGTGTATATAGAGGAGGTCCCCTCTTGCCGTCCTTTCTCCAACTGGTTCAGTCACATATTTAACTGTTCTCATGGCCAGACAGTGAATTTAACTCTGACTAAAGCAAAGTTAGGTCAAAGAAATAAATATCACTTTCCCTTCCTCTCCTTAATCTCTTTCACCTTCAATACATGCCAGACACCCCTTTATCATGTTTTCATCTCGTCTAGCTGCTAAATATAATGCTTTTGTTTGTGAGTAACATTTAGATTCTGATTCAGCAAATTATTTAGATATATGCCTATCTTAGGGCAAATTTAGCCTACTGCTGTTGATGGATTTTAGGTAGAGTCTTAAAGCTTTGCTGAATCAGACTTTGCCCAATTAATTCTATTCAATAGAAGAAGAGACTTATTCTGTTCCAGAACTGTGTGTAATGAACTAAGACTCACCATGGCACAAAAGCAGAAAACTACCAATCCTGTTATTAATTTCTGTTATGATGCTGCACTTAGTCTTCTCTAAGCTTCTGAAAAAATAATGTCTTCATAACTATTGATAATGAGGTATGTATCGTTAATCCTGTTATACCATGTATGAATGTCAATTAAGAACTTGAACTGAAAATGGAGCAAAGAAATAAAAACCAAGGGAAACATAATTTACCATCCTCTGAATAAAAAGGTGCTAGGCTATTTATTAATAATTTAATCAACATACTAAACCTATCCTCTCCTAAAAGTATTCATTAAAAACTTGCAGGAATGGAACATTTAGTATGGGCAGGAAGAAATGACAGTATAAACATGGGAATTAGAAACAAAATTAGATTCAGCTTTATAAAGTCTGGACTAACATGTCATTCAAATACAGGCATGAAATGTCACAGGGGAACCTGGAAATTTGGAAAGCCCTGGAAATGGGAAAGGACAATGCAAAAGGTATGATTCTCTAAGAAGGAAACATGAGTAAACCAGACCACTGCAACTGGAGTAATAATTCAGAGGTTCTGTGCAATAGGCTGAGAAGTAATTTTTCTTTTGTGTAGCCTTGATTCAAGTGGAATTCTAGGCTTTGGTTCAATGCTACTTGCACTTTTGATAATTTGGGTGTACATCTTGGGTGTACCTCCAAACACACTAAAAATGTGGTGCAAAAATTCCCAAAGTCAAGGATTTAATATGTTGAAAGCTACAGTCTGCACAGCTCAGCACAGTGTGGTGAATACTTCCTAGGTCAGGTCTGGATATCATAGAAATACCTGGAAGTTGCAAGCAGCTTGACCGCTTCAGATCTAAGCTGTATCATCTCCATCAGTGCTAATCTCTCAAACATTCCTTCCTGTGTTTCTGATTTGGGATCAGCAGAGCTACAACAAGCTCACACCTCTCTCTATCCACTGTTACCTCTGATTCTTAATCTTAGGCAGACTCATTTTTGGTAGCTGAAGGAACTACTGCCATTACCCATTGTCTTCAACCTTCTGCCAGAGGCCACCAGCTTGAACCATAGTGACTGAATGGGCAGTACATCCCCTCCCCAGCCATGACCGTGGTAGCCTGCGTGGTAATGGAAACCGTAGCTGACTTCAGTTCATGCAGGTGGTCCAGCCTGCAAGCTCCTGGACCTGGCAACCAGACACATCCCCCATCCTGCTGTCCCAGCTCTGCATGATGGCCTCTGGCAAAAGGGCTTAATGTACATGAGTCATAATTACTCCTATTATTACAGTTCCTCCCAGTCTTGAAATGTTTTTTCACAAATTAGGCAGACTTCAGAAAAAGAAGGCAAAAAACCTCCAGCCATTATTTCAGAGAAAAGAAGAAAGTACTCACCCCCGCCAAGAGCATCTCCTAAATGCAGATCATTGTCTAAAAATGGAAAGGAAGATGTAGAGAAGTGAGTACCACACAGTTCTTGAAGGAAGTGAGGTTTTTTTTCGTTTTTAATAGAAAATGTACAACTGAATATTTGACAAGCAACTGTTTTTCAGGTCAGGCATGCAAATTCAAATAAGGTATTTAACTTTTCTTGAAAAATCTTATATAATTTAGTATTTGCCCACAAAATAATTGACAAATTAGATAATATTTTCCACTCAATACAAAGAATTTACTCCTGCTTTACATAAGCTCAGAATAAATCTCATAGTAGAATTAGGATCAACACCTCTTTAATATATTTGCAAGTGCGTAAATAAAATTAGTTATGTCTAAGTATTACAATGCGTCTATTTTTAAAATATACTTATTTATTAACATTTATACCTGTGGTTAAATGTGTATGCATACTTGGCTTAAGTGTATTTTGTTGACCTGCAAAAACTGACTGCCCATTTCAAGAACAACTACTGGGAAGTAATAAGCCTACTTAGGGAGAAAGAATTGAATCAACTAATTTATGTAAAAGTCCTGGTGACATAAAAAAATTTTATTTGAGCAATCATAAGCACCTGTCTGATATTGGGTGACAGTCTGCTTTGCTTTGTCTGAGCTATAAAGGTTTTAATATATATTTAAATGTTTGCATGTGCATGTCATGCAATAAATCAACCAGCTATTGCCATTCCTCCCGCACTATACACGTCTTGCTGCACTTGGGAAGGAATTTTCCGTCAATAAACAAGAGGAACCCCATTTTCAATATGAAGGTATGGACATGAGTATGTGGGTGATATTTTAGGGGGTGTGTGGAATGATGGTGAGCTCTGAAAGGTCACTGAGTAATAGGCAGAAATACATTAGAGGCATATCATAACTCCAAGGCTCCAAGGGTCCCTTTCTTGCACCTGATAACTGTGGAATGCTGGAATGAATCATAAGGGACAGCAAAAATCTACCTAAATTTTGATACCAATGCTTATTGCCACAGAAAATTAGATAGACACTCAATTATTTTTTTTTCCTTATAATTGTGTCAAAATTCCAAAACCCAAAAATGCATCCAAATGCATCACCATGCAGAAGTCTGCCTTCATGTGTTTTTTATATGCAGAGAGAGTGGATATCTAGTCTCATCTGTGTAACAACTCAGAAATGCTTTGATATCACCAGGAAATCTGTCAGGAAAATAATCAAATTTGTACTACATGACTCAGTTTGTGCTTGTCAAGTCAGGTGTTGATCTTGTCTGTCTGGCCAGCAGAGAGTTACATTTCAAAAGTACCTTTACACGTCAAATACTAAAACTGTAAGAAGCAATAAATTGCAAACTGGATTCAATATATTATCAAGATGAAGAATTCAGGTAAAAAGCAAGGTTCCACTCTGGAGGGCTCATGCAGAGATTTGTTACAGAAATGTTAAAGTTGATATGAATGAAATACAAATGGAAATGCATGTGTCTGTAGGGACCAGAATAAACAGCAGAGCAAGGGGTTAAAAGAGCAGACAATAAAGGTCACCATTCCCAGCAGTAAAATTTAGGAATGTGTTGTTTCTGTCAAAACCAGAAGGCCTGTGCTCCAATAAGAAGACAGCACATATGACTTGTCAGCAGAGGAAAAGCAGAAGGGCAATCTAAAGCCAGAGATTGCAGCTTATCACCTATTCCACTACTTTTCCTGTTTGCCCACCTAGAAAATAAACTATAGAAATGGCCTGTGTACGTCAAACAAGCAAAACTAGGCAGTGGGCAGCAACCTGGCCTAGGGTTCAAAGACACTGCAGTAAGCAAGGTTATGACGTAAAGGACCTCTCCATAATAGCTGGTGACTCCTAAAGTGTATAAGAGATCTGTATATAAACTAGCTTGTCACTTCTGATCAAGAAGAACCACAGAGACAGGATAAGGGCTCAATAGCTGGTGTACGTTGTCCAATGTTGCATGTGATGCTCACCAGACCACCTCAGCATGCGCATCTTGGTGCTCATGAGTACATGGGTTTGAGCACATGGCTGAATTAAGCCAATGGCAGGATGAATGTGAGCGGGCAAAATCAACTTATTTAGAAATTTTGTAAATAAATATCACCTTCACCTTCCATTAAAGTTTTGTGTTGAATTTTGTTACACTAGATGGGAGATGTCTATAGGAGAGCTTCAACTCAGGCAAAGGTGTCTATATGGGAAGTGATGCCCAGAGTACATGGCCTGTAAAATAACTGGCCTCAGCTCAATCAAAGTCATCATCTCAGCCAGTCTTATTTCTCAATGATACTGGCTGAATGAGACATAGACAAAACCCTGAGGCTAAGATTAAGCATCAGGCAGATGCTTAGACATACTTTGTATCATCTTTCTGCATGTTTCCAAATCTAGTATTTGATTTTTAACACTGTTTTTTAAATTAGATTTTGTTGCTTTTAAACTCCCTGCAATCCTCTTCAGTACTGAAAGAGATTCCAAAATGGTCTGGAAAACATGAAGTTCATCAGTCCCAATAATTAGCAAAGCTGATTCAGGTAGGGCAGACAATCACCTGACTGTCATATCTCCAACAGATTTAGGAGTCCTTAAAACCTAATTCCTTTCACCTGGCGGAGGCAGCTTCACTGTAGATATCAGCAACCCTAGGTTACCTTTAAACATGACTGAGGGCAGAGTCTTTTAGGGCACTATTCAAGTAACCTACCTGAAATGTCTATATTAGGATGAGAACAAATCCACATTTAGAATTATATGAACTGTCCCTAGACATGCTGATTTCTCTCCACAGACTTAAGTAGAGGGCAGCGACTTAGCGGTACTTTACGACAGACACTTTTAATCTAGACCAAACATGGATTTTCTTTGCAAAATGAAGTGGGAAGGAAGAATGCCATCATTACAGGATTTAGTAGCTGCCACATTTGCAAAACACTGCCTTGTTAGTTCAAAGAGTGAGCTAGAGAATCATATGGAGAATGTAACTGCTTTCATGTACCTAAAGGCTTATTGTAACATTTAAAAGAGTGGAAGTTATTGCATGGGCTAGTGTTATCCAGCACTTCCTGATTCAAGCATTTTGTTTGATAGCCAGAAATTTATTTCAGTGTAGTTTAGTTGAAATATCTCTACATTATCATAAAATGTTCCTTCATAAAGGCATGTGTGGTTTTTGTTGTTTGGGGTTTGGGTTTTTTCAACAGTAACGAGTGTTCATTGGAAATCGTCATTCTCAGGACTACAGCTAAAACCTTTGGTCCTCTGCTGTTCAGAGTCTTTTTTGCTTTCTGACACAGGTCTTTGTAGCAATCAGTACCAGATAATATTAAGTAAACACATGAGGAGAAGAAAGAGTACCCAAGTTCATTCCGATTCTTTTCCAAGTCTGTTATCAAGTGCCATGAATATTTATGCTAAAAGAAAAGATACTGATTTTTATCAATGGTTACCCATGGTTATACTCCCCAGGGAGTTCAGTACAGGCAGGAAAAGTGTGAAGAATGTGTTCAGGAAATAAAATGCCATCAGTGGTCAGTCATGCTCTAAAGCCTTGCTGACAGTAAAGACAGTAAAGACATGTAATTGGCAATTGTCCATAAAACCACCTACTTTACCTAGAAGACAGCTAGTATTCACACAAACAGTCTCAGGTATGTTACATTAGCAAATATGATCAAGAATCTCATGGGAGACAGTTTCAAGTTATCTAAAATCAGTTATGACCTGTTGTCTTTGTTACTCACTCAGCACAGGCCTTGTCGGTCTTCTGATCACTGTAGGCTTCCTGGTAATTATGTCATCTGTGGGACACAGTGACATACCAATAAATAATAAGAGCTTAAACTTCTTCAACTTACCAATAAAAGGTATCTGCGAATCTAGAGAGCTGCAATCAATAAATCATTATGTATCAAGGCAGAAGCTAAAAATGAAGGGATATGTTTTCAAAGCCATTATATTTTTTGTTTGTTTTAAAGAAAATTTTAATTTTATGACAGAAATATTGAAGTCTAGAATTTCTCAATCCCGTATACCTTTAACTTAAATACTAGACAATTCATATTCCAGTCCTCAAGGAAAAGGACTTCAGATTTATTATTGGGTCTAAATGACATGGTAAAACAAGTATAGGAGATTTACTTACCTGGGTGATCAAGAGCATCAGCTAAATCAAAATCATGTTGACCTAGAAGGAAGGTGACAGAAGGAAAGAGACAGAGTCAGCTGGCATGCTTTCATGACCTCCAGGTCTAAGGGCTCCGGACAAAGCCAGAACACCAGATGCAAAAGAAAAATCCATCCAAACAGGAGCAGGGGCAGAGCAAGCTGTCACCTGTTGTCCCTGTGCTATGTGGTCCTGAATGACCATGCAAGATGGGCTCATTTACTTGAAAGCAGCTGTTCATTCAGGTAGCACAAAGAGAAGCTGCTGTCTCATGTTATCCATATTCAGCCGCTGTGCAAACATACCTTTGAAGAACACAGGTTGCCTGTTACAGGGCACAAGGGCTATTGCTGGGAGACAGCTGAAAGTAGCATTGGGCATGGTACTTGCAAACCAGAATCATTAGGTGAGAATTTTAATGTCTTTATTATTGTTTTACTAGCTCAACTTTACTGGCAAGCCTGCCTTGTGATTGAATAATCTTTTTTTTTTTTTTTTTTTAATTCTTCCTGTAACATATGCCAGCAGTAGAAGATATAAAGATAAGTCTACCTAATTTGGTTTCCGCTGTATCTTAAAAAAAAATCTGAAAGTGGAGAAAATAACCCTTCCAGTTTTGTGTTAGGTGACAAAGATGTCATTAAAGGCCACAGCAGGGCAATTAGCATCCTGACCTTTGAAGTTAGCAGGTAAATAAAACTGGAAAATGTTTAAAATGTGTTAAACTGAAGCATACAACTTTGAAGTTAACAAACACAGTTATTCATGTGAGTTTCACTTTTCACTCCCTACAATCTGCCACTTTCCTTTTAATACGCAGCCTTCATGAATGGCCTCTTTGCAGAGTGTGTACCCATTATTTTTCATCCAGACTGAAACATCACTGACTTTGTGTTTGCACACCAAATACAAGATCAGGCTGCACAAATCCGCAAAAAGTAATGACATGCTGTGGTTTGCCTCAACATAAATGTTTTACTGTGCTCTATCGAGTAAGCCTCTTGATCTGCACCTGTTTATTATCCTGTCTAAAATGCTTACTACCTAACTTTTTGATGAAGTGTTTTTCTCCATAAGTCTTGAACACTTCACAGCAACAAAGGTGACAAGATTCAAGCAGGGAAATTGAGGAACTGAGAGGGGCCATTAGAGGTTCTCCAGCATGACAGCACTTTGGGTTTAACTCAGCCCTCTCTTTTCAACAGGTGCTGTCTGTCTTCATGGCATTCTTCACATTAATCGCTGTTCCTGAATAATACCTCTCACCTGTGTCAAAGAGCTCCTGGAAAGACCAATTATCAGTGGCAAAACACTGTGTGATCATCAAATAATAATCAGCGCAGGAGCATAAAGTAGAAATGTTTTGATTCCCATGAGGATTTTAATATACGTCTGTGAACTTACAGAACAGGTGTCTGACGGAAAAGATAAAATGAGGCTGGAATGCAAAATAGTGATAGGCTTATAAAGAAAAAATGTCCCTTTAAAATATTATGACAAATCTATGTTTGGAAAGTAAAGCAAATAACAGCATGAGGCTTTGCCCATAATGTTATTAGAGTAGCATTTTATCTCTTATCATTTGAACTGTTCTTGGAGTGTCACCTCATCTGATCACCTCTCCTTCCCCTGTCCTGGCCACTCAGCCAACATTGCCAAGTCCAGTAACCTTTGGACTGGGTCCTTAGATTAATACTATTCCAAGACCCTGACTGGTTCTTTTTTTCATATGAATCCACTAAATACATAAATATATAAAACTAACAAGTGGCTTCCTCAGAAGATATTCCTTGCCGGAGCCATGAGCGCACTGCCAGCCCTTACTGGCCCTGTTTGACTGTCTTTTGGTTTTGTTCTCTGGATAAATCTTCATTCTTGATTGTCATCCTGAGTGCTGAAGGAGGCTGTATGACCGGAGCCCTGCTGCTGCAGGATACCTCCGGCAGGGTTCAAACCATTTCTCATCAGAGTGAGTCATCACAAATAATTTTGTAACACCAAAAAGATGTTGGCCAAACCACCTCCATTGTTACAGGTCCTGACACGTAGGAGCTAACAATAAGGAAAGCAGCTACCCAGGTCCTAATGCTGTAAAGAGAATGTGACAAAATCATCTCGTGAAGGAAGACTCTGGAAAACTTCCAGGTATAATATTTCTTTGAAATTAGGGAAAATAAAAAAATAGGAGGAGCAATCTAATCAAAAGATATTGTGGAAGTCAAACAAGATGATGCAGATGCTTCCAACTGCATTAGAACCAAAGCAAAACAGGATACTGAAACAGTTACTAACACCTGTCCTTCTCTTGGACAATACAGACGTTTCCCTCTCCCATTAAATGTTGTGGTGGTTTTGGCTGAGATAGAGTTAATTTCCTTCATAGTAGCTAGCATGGGGCTGTGATTTGGATTTTTCCTGAAAACAGCGTTGATACCACAGGGATGTTTTTGTTAGTGCTGAGCAGTGCTTACACAGCATTGGGACCTTTTCTGCTTCTCACAGCACCCCACCAGCAAGGAGGCTGGGGGTGCACAAGACGTTGGGAGGGGATACAGCTGGGACAGCTGACCCCAACTGACCAAAAGGATATCCCATACCATATGACATCATGCTCAGCATATAAAGCTGGGGGAACAAGAAGGAAGGAGGGGGGATGTTCAAAGTTATGGCATTTTGTCTTTCCGGTAACTGTTACACGTGATGGAGCCCTGCTTTCCTGGAGATGGCTGAACACCTGCCTGCCCATGGGAAGTAGCAAATGAATTCCTTGTTTTGCTTTACTTGTGTGTGTGGCTTTTGCTTTAGTTATTAAACTGTCTGCATCTCAACCCACGAGTTTTCTAGCTCTTGCTCTTCTGATTCACTCTCCCATCTCACCTGGGGGGAGTGAGCAAGTGACTGTGTGGTTGCCAGCTGAGGTTAATTCATGACATATGTCTCCTCTCTTTTTGAAAAAGTGGGAAAAGACAAGAGGTGTTCTTTTGAGAAAGTAAGAAAGAAATAGAAGACAGAAATTTTAAGAAGATAAAAAAGAAGCCTCAAAATCCCCTGCAGAAATTATTTGAATTGATTTTTTCTTCATTATTTCTCATGATAAACCAAGTAATAAAATAAACAGACACCAACACAGAATGACTGATTTGGAATAAGACAGGAATCTAAGTTGAAGTTTCTTTGTCTGTGTAAATATAAACCTTGACAGATGGGCAGATTGTATGTGGATAGCTGTTCAGCATGGTAAATGACATTCCAATAAACCAAAAGATTGCTTGGACTTCCGTCCTGACTTAATAACATCAAATGACCGCAAGGAGTAAGATTCTGTGGAGCAGAATTTTAAATGCTCATTACCATTTCTGAGACAGCACCTAGACATTTTATGAATCTAATTTGTGAGGATAACAGATGGTTAAATAGCTGAACAGCCCAAATTTCATCTGCAAAATGGTGGGTCTGAAAACAAAAACATATTAGAGACTCGGAGAATATTTAGTTGAGTAGGAACTGCAGTCACTTCAGGGAACTCTGAAGATAAATGACAACAGAAATAAATTAGTCGAACTTCTTCACAGAGCAAACAGACTGAAAAAAGTTCATTTTCCACATATAAAAATGGCCTTTGTTTTGGATCAGGTCCCATAATAGAAACAGCTGGAAATACACTGATGAAAATGAGAATGAAAGACATTTTAGCGGAGAGAAAACAGCTTTGTTCCTTTGGGTTTTTTATTTGGTTGGGGGTTATTTTGTGTGTGGTGGGGTTTTTTTTATTTTGTTTGCTTGCTTTTGGTTTTGGTTTTAACCCAGGTAAATTTATAAAGAGATTTAGCTATGCAGGAGGTATTATCTCATAGTTATTTCTGTTATTACTGTTTTGGGCTAGAATACTATTTCTTAGCATCTCTTCTAGCCTTTCTTCTGGGAGTGTCCCTGTTTTGACATAGAAATTGAATTATTGTAATAATGGTTTTTGTTGGGTGGTCCACAACGATTCATAACAGAGAATTAGAGAAAATGCTTATAATGGAGAAAATGCTTATAAACTCCTGCCTGACACCACAGAACAATCCTTATCTGCAAAGCTGAGCTAAGAAAGCAAGCCTTCCAGGTGGATATACAGTTTGTATTGCAAAAGGACCTGATTTAATTATGTTTGTACTAGCTGCTCAAACACAAAGAACTATACTAACAGCAGGACTTTTGCTGGCACTGCCAGCCTTATTTAGGATATAATTCCCTCATCTCCACCCAACACACGCAGCTGTGTCTATAAAAATCTGAAGTGTAGACCTGGCCTAAACAGTTAACAGTAGACTTCTCTGTAGCAGCCAGACAGGGGAGAACAGGCTCCATAAAGCCAATCACCAAAATGTAGTAGCTGAAATTTCGAAGTTCCTACATTTATTTTTACAGGCATGATTCTTTCGAGTACGACATTTGCTTTCAGTAATGCCCATGCTTTCTATGAGCCTTTTAAATATAATATGTGGAAGGATGGTGACATAAAATCCTTGTTAGTACTCTTGCTCTGCTACAGAGACTGTTACAGTTGCTGGTTGCCACAGAGAAACTGAGACAGCTTTCAGTAAGTTCACTTGAATGCTGAAGCATCATGGAGCTGAGGTCGTCTTACCCCACCAAGGCAGTCCCCTGCAAAGTCATATCCTCAGACACATGCACATTTAATGTTCACAAACTTTTGCTTATATTAGTTTTCTGAAAATGTATCCCAAATATCCAGTCATTAAAATGCAGGCAACAGCGTCTTTTGCCTATGGTTGGATTTCTGACCTAAACATTAAATGGATCCATCACTCTTTAACTGTGAGCTGATTGATCACAACAGTCTGAGGTCCCACAGTTTTTCAGGAGGATTTATGAGGAACGAGTCTGGATTTTGCAGGTGGATGTTACCTGTTCATCATTATGACTGTAGGCAGTTTTCTGAGGAAAAGGTTACTATTGCATCACTCTGCAATTTTTAATCTCTGTAAGTAGGCTCAGTGCTGCACTGCATCCAT